TCCTTACACTAATTACAGTTTGATTATGAACAGTATTTAATTTTTTGGCTGCATTTGTAGCATTCTCATCACTTAAAAATAAAAAGTATAAAACATGTCTCTTATATTCATCTGTTACTTCCATTTTAACGAAAATAAACAACTGAAATGTTCCCAATTCTGAACAGTATTATATGAATGAGATCCAATTTAACACTTCAGTGTAAAAAGTATCACATTAGACTGGCATTTTTAACAGCAAAACAAGATCATAAAATACACACGAACTTATGGACTGACCTAATAAAAACCATTTATTATTTAACGTCCATAAAAATTATGTTTATATTAATGATGTCTCCAAAGTACAGTGAATTTTTCGCAAAAAAAATAATTTATCAGGAAGCGCGCAAACGCCATTTAATGACAAGCTCCACAATGAAAACAAGCTTAAGCAATGGCATAGTTGAACGATGCACACTCGGTAAGTAATCCTACAATTTTTTGTTTATAGCATAGTTTATATGGATTATTCCCAAAAAATTATACATATTTTGGAAATGTTGAGTCAAATTAGTCGAGAATCAAATAATTTTATGGAAGAAACATTTCAAACAGCCGTAGTCTGTAAACTGCATACGTGCCGGGCTGTGATTGGCTGGACTCGTAGAAAATGGATTCATAAAAACCGGAACATATCTACCATGTTATGGGGGGGTCAACTGTATTTTATTTATATGAGCTTTAATTTTTGTAAATATTTTCTTTTAATTGTATATAAAATGTGTAAAATAACACACAGTAAATATGAAAATTACAAATTAAAATTTCAAATTTCTGTTTAAAAAAATATGACAAATAGGATAAATAAAATCATTCCACTATTTTATTTAATATTCCAAATGGAAGAAAATGATAACTGTAATAATTTTAAACAGCATTGTAATAATCAAGCAATTATGACACAATCTAAAACAATGAGTAATAAATCGAAATAGAATTTAAATGAAATCAAAATAGCTAAATTCTAGATAAATCAAAACAATCTATCAAAGAAAGAAAAAATAACATTAAAATTACATGGAATTTATTATATATTAATTGAAATATGAATTTAAAAATTTAATTTAGAACTTCTTGAATAAAATTCAAAAGCTATAAATTTCTTAAGGCAAGACTAGTGAAAACACTTAAGTCTTCCGCCCGACAAACCAACCTGTACTGATATTAGAGTGGAAGCTTTATCTTCTAACTGTCGCTGAAGTTCTGCAATGAGAACATGATGAGACTTCATTTTCTGACTTCCTCTTGTAGTTCCATTACTTTCAGTATAAGATGATGGCATTGATTCATCAATGAAGAAATCAGCTGAAAAGAATTCTTGGGAATTTGAAGTGCAACACTCTGGAGATATCATGGAATGTGATGCTGGTAAATGAAGATCTCCATCACTATATGTTCTTGTAAGTAACATCATTTTGCCATTATGACTTCCAAGTGATTTATTTTCATTTTCTTCTTCTTGAAACCTAGCTTGCATAGAAGATTCTTCACCTGCATGCATACCCACCTTTATAAGATCACTAGGACTGTGGTCTTTTGGTAAATCTCCCACTTGTTCAAATTCTTCAGTATCAGAATCTCCTCCATGTTCTTCTTCAATTGGAGAAAATGTTTCTTTCTCTCGAGCCGTATCGTTTGGCTGGGTAACTTTATCTTCTGAATCATCATCACGTTTCTTTCTTATTGGAGATTTCATTTGAAGTTTTAAAACTTCATTATCAGTACATTCAAATGATTCACTTGATGGACTTGCTTCAGAAGCTAAACTAAGAATTTCTTTATCAATTTCTAAAAAGCAGTCTCCTGCAGCAAGTTCCTGAGCTTCTATTAATTGAGGAAGAGGCTCTAAAAATGTTGGACTTGTCACACTGCCAGTTTGTAAAACTCTTGATAAAGAAACATCACCACCAACTATAGATTGATTTGAATTCAAAAATATTGTTGGCATATCACTTTGAAGAGGAATTTTCAGATAATTAGCTAATTCAGGAAGTAGTTGCCTCAATTTTTCTATATCCTCCATTTCTATATTTGGCAAATTAGCATCAAAGAGTGCTGGTGGTTGTACCTATAACAGAAAATTTTAAAATTATCAATACAATGTTTTCATAAAGTTTTATTAAATCAGTTTAACTAATAAACATTCTAATAAGCTCATATTTTAAATAAGTAAAGTAAATACTGATAGAAAGCATTAATAGAATAAAACAACAAATTTCAACGCTTTTTATATCAAGTTTTTATATGTTTCAAATGTCATTGTAAATGTATTTTATCTTATTCTCACATTCTTGTTATGTTTGGGGTTTTATTGGGGAGAGGAAATCCTTCATCTGCAAGACATTTCCTAATGTATATTAAAATAAATAAATAAATATTAATATCTTTCAGTTTAGAAGACAAATTAAAAATTATTAACGTAACAAATTTCCAAATTAAAATCCACATTATGAACTTAGAATAAACTGTTCAGATTTATTCAAAGTTCATAATTATTGTAAAATTTGATAGTTATGAAAATATCAAGTATCATCAGATCTAATGATGATAACATTATTCAAAAACTGAATTATAATCCTGTTTCCAGATAAGTTCCAAAAAAATAAGTGATTATTTTAGTCTTTACAAATATATATATATGTATAAAATAGATACAAGGGATGGATGGAATAGGAGTTTTTGGCTAAATACCAAATAAGTTTATTGTTACCAAATTCTGAATACTTGGCCAAATATCAGCTGATTTATTTGAAATTTCCTGAAACAGAAGGTTTAGACAGCCTTAGAATAAGAGGGAGCATTATTTGAAGTTTTATAGATTTGTTTATCACCATTTTGCTATATTTATGTTCTTACTCATGATATTTGTATATATCATTGTATTTATTTAATTATTTTATTTTGTATTTAATATTTTTCTTTTTAATTATTTATTTCTATTTTCTATGTTTTATCTAATATATTTGCTATGTTTAATATATCTTATCTAATATATGTTTTATCTAATATACAGGGTGTTTTATTTTTAAACTGACGGTACTCTGAGACATCTGTAGAGCAATCTAACAGCTAGATTGTCGCCAAATTTGGGATAGTGACTAAGGACAACATGGGAAAGAGATTCCAAGAAGTAAAAAAAGTAGTACCCAAATTCGCCAGTAGGGGTGAATTTGGCACTTCTGTAGCAAAACAGCTAATAATTTGCATATTGCGCTGGTAACACTTCAAAATCCAAATTCACCATGGCGTGGTCAACAGCAGTACCAGCTAATTTGAACTTAAAAGACAAGGACAAAAGTTGGAAGCACATTCCGGTCGTCAGCAGAGTTCAACGTGCATCTTTCATTACCTCAGTGTGCGTTGCTTGTAAAACTTTATTATCTTAACCAATCGAGCGCACTAGGTGCTCTTTGTGAGTTTAGAACCCGTAACAACCTGAGCAAAGATCCTCTATCAATTAATGTATTAAAAGACTTGATAAAGAAATTTGAACAGACAGGATCCTTAGCAGTTCAGCCTGGTAGAGGGCAGAAACTGGTGTCTGCACAGACAGTTAGTGATGTTGTGACTGCACTTGTTGAAGGTTCTAACCCCCCGGATCTAACCCCATGTGACTTTTTCCTGTGGGGTTACTTAAAGTCCAAGGTCTATCTTGGTGGTGTCCTCAACTTGATGACCTTGAAGGACAACATTTCTCGAACCGTGATGAACATTCCTGCAGACATGTTACGTTCGGCCATAGAGAACACGGTGTCCAGAATGCAATGTGTTGTCCAGCAGCACGGTGGTCACATTGAAGGAGGGAGAAGGTTATTTGCTGAGTAATTAAACTTTCGTTATTGCACTGAAACATCTGTCTGATTATTCATTCATGTGTTTGTTAATTGCAGCTGGGTTTTATGCAAATTCTTAGCTGTTTTGCTACAACAGCGCCAAATCCACCCCTACCAGTAAATTTAGGTACTACTATTTTTTTCTTCACGGAATCTCTTTCCCATGTCGTCCTTAGTCACTATCCCAAATTTGGTGACAATCCGGCCATTAGATTCCTCTACAGATGTCTCTGAGTACTGTCAGTTTAAAAAAAAACACCTGTATATCTAATGTGCTCTTGCACATGTAATTTACTATGTGAATTTGTAATTTTCAAATGTTTTTAATTTCAAATGTGCTTCCTGTTCTATATATTATATTCCATTCTAGAACCTGAAGATAGGCATTATACATAGTTGAAAATGTTTGTTCCGTTAATAAATGTTTTATTTATTCTTCTCCACACACCAGAATGTACTAAAAATAACTCTTACTTTAAACCTCGTAACCGGAGTGAATGTATAATACTTCCGCAAACGTTTTTGACGCCCCTCCTGGGTTCTTCTTCAGGCTTTTTTTGATAAATGGTAAACTGGACGTTGAAAATCGAACATTTTCTTTTGATTTGTTTACCTTTCGAATCATCGCACATATATTGTGATGATTCGAAAACGTTTGCGGAAGTATTATACATTCACTCCGGTTACGAGGTTTAAAGTAAGAGTTAGTTTTAAATGTTTTATTTTTACTGGCAAAAAACATTTTATATAAAATAATAATAAAACAATATAGGCATGATATTAATAAATATTCAATTTTCAACAGAATTGGAAGATTCAGCATCTAAAATTTCAACTATAGTTTCTATTATTATGAAAAAATTATATATTGAAATCATTATACAAAATTGCAGTCCAACTTAAAAAATACAAGAAATTTGTAGAGGAATATTGTTTAATCTCTTCTTAGTCAAAATATTTACTAAATATTCACAGTTTTTACAATTTATAATCTAAATCAGTATTTCTCAAACTGTTTTTTTATACACTCCCTTCCAGACTAGTATTTTCGTGAAATTAAAAATAATTATAAAATGAAGAGAATGTAGTTCAAATACATTTTGTTTTTCAATTTTAATTTTTAGACTGAATTAACAAGTAAATAAAATATAATTACAAAATTTGGTTCTAATCATTTTAAAAAAACACATTGCTGTTTTTAAGTAATCTCTCAGCCTATTTCAATCACCAATCCATCCTCTGTAGTGTTAAAATAATAAAGAAAAATGAAAGTAATAAAGTAATATATTTTTAAAATACTTTTCAAGATATTTCTAAATTATTTTTTTTGATGCAATATAAAAAATTATCAAATTTTAAGTGGAATCTCATCACAGCCAAGTAATAAACTGATCACAGTTTGAGTAGCATCAATTCCTGTCAAATTATCTAAATATATAAAATTGCTTGTCCTGACTGACTGAATGACTCACTCATTCACTCACTGATTCATCATCACCCAGAGCAAACCGCTTAACCTAAAGAGCTTAAATTTGGTAGACAGTTAGGGTACGTCATGGAAACGCACACTAAGAAGTGATTTTTCGAAATTCCCCTGCGGGGAGAGAGGGAGAGGATTAAGGCTTAACCGGAAGAATGGCTTCTACTGTACAATTTTAGATGTGGTTTTTTTTTTAATCTGCGTTGTGGTAGGGTATGCCATGAGAATGCACACTAAGAAGGGATTTTTCAAAATTCTCCCACGGGTATAGAGGGAGAGCATTAAGGCTTAACCGGAAGAATGGCTTCTACTATACTACTTTAGATGCGATTTTTTGTTTTTATCTGTGTTTTAGTAGNTTCTTGAGAAAAAGCCAATTTTTATGTTTATAAAATATTTTGAATGAAAAATATTAAAATACTGTATGTACAAATAAATCATTTTGAACACTTCTTTTTAATATTTATCAATAAAAATATTGTTTTGGCATAAAGAATGTTAAATTTTAACTGACTTAATTTTGTGAACACATCTTTTTTATTTATATGGTTATCTTAAGGTCAGTTTTTGCGCTAATGTTGCTAATGCACCATTTGAGCAAAAAAAAATTGTTAAGGAAAAATTTTCTGTTAGCAAACCCTTTGTTAAATATTTTGAATATCACCACTGAATACAGGTCTCTAATTGGTTTAAAACTGGCATGTGCATTGTTCAGTTCTTGGCTGTAAAATGCATGCCTCACTCTCTCTTGCTAGCATGACTGCTCTGTCTGTGAATTCTGTCAACAGAGTGTGTACACTCATATCACTGCGCTAGCAAAGGGATAACTGTGCGGGCATGAAGAAAGGGGCTGGGCATTTGACGTCATAGTGTGTGCTAGTGCACATTTGCTATTATTTTGCTCTCACAAAGCTGTAGTTTGTGACGGCTCTTATAAAATATATTTGAAGAAAAATGTGAAGTTTATAATAGGAAAATGTAAAATGAGAATTTGTCAATGATCTTTGTTGAATAATAAATAATTATTATTTATTATTCAATTATTATTATATATTATAATATATATACAGTGGGTGATCGGTTAACAAACATAACCCGTTCCAAGACTTTGTTCGCTATCCAAATTGTTTGTTAACCAATTATCGATTTACCATAGGTTTTAATGGGAATTTAATTAATTCGTTCTGGAGACCCCCAAAAATAAAAAAATATATATTTTATTACTACGTTTATTTATATGTAATAATAAAAATACATACATACACAGTCTTGCATTTTTATTAGTCATACTTTTCCATTTAAAAGGGTTAAAGAATCTTTTGTAAGGGTTAAAGAATCATTTGTAAGGGTTAAAGAATCTGTCTAATGTCAATTGCTTTTCTCTCTTCTTCAGGATTTTTCGTAAGTAATTAATAGCATTGCAATTGTAGAAATCCCTAAGCCTCAACCTGGTTTGGATGCCATTCTAAGACTGTTGTCCTGACATCCTCCCAGTTCTTCAAAGAATCTTTAATTAATAACAGATATCAACATTAATCCTCTTTTTCATAATAAAACATATCTCGCCAAGTTTCTTGGTGTTATTCATTCAAGAGTTCTTGGCATTCTTCTGTCATCAGATCCATTTCAGGTTCCATTATGAACTCTTCAATGTTCTTTATTTTGCTACTCCTTTAGCTGCTTGAGTCTTCTTGATTATACAGTATTTTTCTTAAATAAGATTGAACAGCGGCCTACTGTAGACCTGTTTACGCCATACTGCCCAGCAATATTAGGCATCTTCTACCCACTCTCTACCTTTGCTATTATACTCTCACCTTTTGAGAAGAAAAACAGACACAAAACTTAACAAGTGCCTACCTGACAGTCTCGCAAATACATAAAAGAATTGTATTGTCAGAAAAATAAAAGGCTGGAATTACAAGGAAGAGTTTCAAAGTTCAAAGAAATACTATCCGATTGGTATATACCGGCTTGAGGGTCAGTGTCGACGTCTCCCGCACTCCGAAAAGTTTCGAATTGTTGCCCAAAGACAAGGGAAGACCAATCAGTTTTCATTATTTTATGTCGCTTCTCCTTGTGTTTGTTCTGTGGAGTGTTCATTATCCGATCATGTGTTCGTCATCTGAACATAAAAATCTTTCACGAAAGTGTTCGTTATCTGATCTGTTCATTATCCGATCTGTTTGTTAACCGATCACCCACTGTATGTATACAGTATATATTGAATATGAATATTATACATAAATTTTACTATGTCATTTATAGAAGTGTTACAGCACATTCAATTTTAAAACAAAAATTATAGTACATTAAGATTACATAAATATTGAAATATATCTTAAAAATTTAGATCTTACAATACAACATATACAGGGGTTGCTCTGGAAAATTTAAAAATATTACCAACCATTTGCCAGTTTTAAATGTTTTTTTCTACTTCAAATTATTTATCACCACCAGTTTTACTTAGTAATTAATGCAGGTGCTGATAGCCTTTATCAGTTTGATGTCTGAAAGCAAAAGTAATGTGTTAAGCTGTCAGTTACAAGGAGAGAACCAGATGTTCAGGTTGCCAATTTGAAAGAAACCTAGTGAGCATATAGGCCTAAACACAAACAGCTCCTTGTCCAAATAATAGGACCCACTTCTCAAGCATTTTCTAAAAATGGTCCTTTGAAAATTTAGTTTTTAGTTTATAAGTCTTTGACAGCCGATTGCATAGACAACATTTAGAGACCAACGGCAGTTTACAGATCGGGTACACTGCTGTTCAGAAAAATTTCATTGCAGAGATGGTGTTTCTCACCTGCCACAATGTAGACAGCGATTAGAAACAAGTTATTTGACCTATTTTCTAGACTCACTCGACAGCAGGTTTAGAGGGCTTTTCAATTCGAGTGGTAGTTTTGTTCGTGCAAAAGTTTAGATAAAAACAGATATCGTTCCTTTGATGAATGTTGTAAACGGTACGAATCGGCAAAATTATTCATTAATTAATTGCTTGGAGCAAAAACAACAAAATTAAATACTTTAAATTTGTTTTAAATGTTTCAAATTTCAATATTCAAATGGATGAAGACTTAAAAGTTTAATTAATTTAAATCAGATGCATTTATTTACAATTCAAGTATCGTGTCGGTTATAAAACATTAATTAATTTCGGAGTCATTGTACTATTAAACAAACGAGACAATTTTAATAATTACAGAAATCTGTTTATAGATATAAAAAAAATATAATATTAATAATAAAATATTTAAAATTATTCATTTTGATAGTTATGAAGGGCGACAGTAATAAGATGTCGAAATAATTTCTTAAAAATCTATTCGGAAGACGTATAAATTTTCTAATTATGGATTTGTTCATATTTTAAACTGTATTGGCGACGAAATTAAATATTGAAATGAAAAAGGATTGTCATTAATTGCCAAACAATGGTTTTGATGGCCTTAAGATTTTATTTCTGGAAGCTTTTGGAATATAGCTGGCGACCATTTCTGATGTCACAAACAAATAACCTGATTGGCCAACCGACTCCTAAAACAGGGGAGTAATAGCAAAGTAAGTAAGAGCCAATGTTTTGCCAAAGTTCGTTTAGAGAATGGTTAGAAATAGATGATCATCGTCTTTGAAACGCATTTTAAACCACGGTTCAACCAGCCAATGTCTATAGGCCGTTCTGCTGATAAACATCATTTAATGTAAACTCTGTCTCTGCAATCGGCTGTGAAAGTTTCATGTCTCTGAGCAACAATAGCCAAGTAAATAAGATACTAGGCACTGGAGCTAGATAATGTAGATCTGGACTGTAATTTGGAATTTTAGTTTAGCTTTGATTTTGTGTATGTATAAATTTAGACATATTTTGTGTAAATTGACTTTTCCCTGGGATGGTTGCATTCATTAGACACATTGTTGTAGTGTTGGATGCTGAATCTTACTGCAGGCTCTCTATATCTATTATGCTATGAGAATAAAAAGAATTGTGTTAACAGTTTGTTATGTACTAGATATTCTTATCCTCAACATAAATTCATTTTTGTTTGTAACCAAATAAATAAGTTTATAGATAAAATCAATGTAACTGCTTTAATTTAAAATTATAATAAATAATCATAATTCATTCTTGTCATTCATATACAGTGGAATCCAGTTTATCTGGCTCAAACAGAACCAGGCCCAATCCGAATGACCAAAAATCTGGATAATCCAGAAAATTTGTTAATGACATCAATAACAGTTTAGAAGTATTGGGTTGTTCGGAAAGTAATTTAGTTTTTTTCCGTANAATGCAAAAATAATGTTATACTTTTAGACAAAATCATCAAGATAAAAAAGAAAAATTATTCATTCAAAAAAATTTATTTTAAATTGACAATTTCAAAAAAGACATAATGATATCATATTAAGATTGTATACTTATGTCAATTTTAACACTGAAAGATATTCAGTGTAAATGATGACAGTATTATATGTTACTAAATATAAAATTCTAGAAGCAGCAAATCATAGCAGAGCAGTTCCCAAATAGGACCACCAATTCTTATAGTGTCATGTAAACTCCTTTACATATATATTTTAAACTAGAATAATAATGTTTAACAATTTTTAAAACATTGAAAAAATAAGTCAACACAACACTTGGATGATCTTCTACAGAAAAATACCTTCCAAGACTTTCTATGGAAAATGAGCTCCTATTTATATATTACATATACAAAGAAACCTGGAAAACTCCACCTGTAGCCATTTTGTTGGTGAGGCACAGACCTGCAACTAACTACCAGTGTTTCAACTAACTTACCTTGTAAAATAGATTTAAACATTAGAACATGATATTATACTGCATAGATAATAGATGAGTGTCATGTGGCAAGAATTTGCATGAAGGGGACTTGGATGTAATCTTATACTAGTTGTTTTTTCACTTTTATTTTCATGCACTTTTTACTATTCTTTTATGTAAATCCTTCCCCTTGACTCTTGATTACCAGGTTGCAATTAGCAGTATACAATATATTATATGTTCTAATGTTATCAAATGTCTAAATCTATTTTACAAAGAAACAAAAGCTCATCTACATCTAATAACCTAGCATATTATTACATTTGCCAAAGATTGCATTTTAAGCTCAGTGCTGTTCAAAAAATGTTTCCACTTATTAGCCTGTAAAAAGAATTTTCTGTTTAATATACTAAGTATGAGTATCAATGTGTCAAATTAACCCTTGAACATAGTGACACCCTCAACATCTCATAGATGAATTATCAGAATTGAACTTTAATATCTCAAACAGCCTGAAATATTTCATTATTTGGAGATTTAAATAAATTTTGATAGATTTTCCTGATAATGAACTTGATGTCTTCCTTTGATTAAATCTTTTCCAACTTTTTGAAATCAAACAAACATTCTAAAGTTCTAGTCAAACATTTCATGTTAGTATTAAGTGAATCAACTATTCATTCAGTGAGATCATCATAACTTTATATTAGATACTCATTATATAAAGCTCATTATATATTACATGAAACAAATAATAGCTTGGATTTTCTAACTATTTAATATGTCATAACATTTAGATATTTGATATTTAATAATTTATCACTTAATAACATAAAAAATATAATTTCTGACATACCTGTACAAATAATCTAGAAAAGTTTCTTCTTCTAACAACTTCGGCTACTGCAGTTAAATAAACTTTTGGAGCTAGATGAATTTGTTCAACTACTTCCAAATACTTTTTTAATCTCTTTAATATATCATGATACATCATCAATCTATTTTCTACATCACATATAGTTTTCTCTACAAACATTATCCACCTAAAAACAAATTATTTAAATCCTTATTTTAAATATTTAAGATAAAATTCAATTGTCATTATTTTTTATTTATTATTATTAATTTTTCTGATTTACATTGTAGAAAAGTCAATCATTATTCTTTCATTAATATGAACATTTTAGAATTGATTATACATTAGAGCCGTCACAATCTACAGGAAGCAGGAGCTAGTGTACACTTGCTTGCACTCCAAAGCCACGCCTTCTTTCCCCCCAAGCTATAAGCCATTTTTTTAGGTAAGCTGTAAGGAACCAAGTCCGAGCGTTATTTTTAGTTACTTTTATTTTTGCTTATTATTCTATTTTGTTTGGGGCTTATGTTTTGTTAGGACGAAGGTTTCCTCACCATTCACCTTAGAAACTTAAAAATAGAAGAGAAACCAACTCACCAATGAGAGAAAGGCACTGTAGAAAAAACTCGCACACACTTGTGTTCCCGAGCGGAAAAAAGTAAGTCCGCACCAAGAAAAAGGGGGGAGAAGACCCCACAAGCACAACTTAAATTCGCTAAACCTTAAAAGAATAAAACATCCCGAAAATTGTCAAAAAGAATAATGTAAAAGGTTAGCAAATATTGTCAGAAAAATAGGCTGCCAGACAAATAGAAAAAGTTTATTGTTAGCAAATAAGTATGTAAATGAGGGAAGTGATTGCAGTCAGAATTGTGATGTCACCTCACAGTATAAAGACTGAACGTCAAATGAAGACGAACGAGGTGAGCTTCTGATAGCAATGAGCTTGGTGAGCTTCGAAGCAGTGAACGAGAGGTGTCCGATAGGATAAAATAGTTCCAAGGCGATTTTGAAGTTATTCGATTTGTGGATCGACGAATAGAGAAAGTCTTGAGAGTTGAGGAAATAGGTTCCTAGTATATTGAGGTGATGATTAGGATCTTTAATTCATAAGAATTATTGTACATAAATTAAGTCTTTGATTTTGTCAAATTCCAAAGGAGAATAGAATTAAGTTAGAAACTAGATTGATTTGAGTTTTGTCGGGTTGATTCTTATTGATTTTCATTGAATAAATTGTTATTTGATTTTTACTAAATTTTGTAAATAGTTTATTACTAGAAATTAATTAAATATTTAATTTATTATTGACAAACTTGGTCATTATTTAATTTCGGTGCACGCTAAAAGTCCAGGTCTGGCACACTAACGCAAATCCACGTAAAGTACCCATTAGGGAACGGCTATTTCAGGCACACAGTCGTGTCGATAATCGTTGGAAAGTCGGAAAAATAATATAGTACTTTACAAAGCTACACGAGCATGAAGCAGCCACAATCTACACAATGTTTGTTCATATAAAAGTGCTACATCATGGGAGATTAGTGACTAGTGTTGCCACCAGGCTGGTTTTTAAATTCATGATCCGGATTAATATTTTGTCCGGTTTTCATGGAAATTGTGAAACTGTAATGAAACAAAATAAATTTAAAAAATATTTGCGGGTATTTTGCAAATATTAGGTTTGTTCCAATACAGGCAGTGGTGATATTCAGCGGGTTCGCACAGGTTCGGCCGAACCCGTTGTTAACATTTTCAAAGTTTTCCGAACCCGTTGTTAAACACACGTAACATTTCTCAGTGGTTTGTTTCTTTTAAAAAATATATTAAAATATACGTATTATACTCTGTAACACTACTAAACTAGAGCCTTATACCCCNTAGTCCTAAAGGAAATATATTATATTTTTTCTATTTGTGAATTCGTCGTGGCAAATTTATCTTTAATATATTTATTTATTTAATAATAGTACTGGCCACTGCTAGAGACTTTTTTAACTCATTTACATTGGACGGCGAACATGTAGCCTCAAATAAAAGGTCTGTATCACCGTAAATTTGTTATTGCCTGCAAAGTGTGTGAAAGGACAAATGAAGATTGACTCAATTATATATATAGTCCCAAAGGAAATATATTTTTTCTATTTGAAAAATTAGTCAGGTTGTAATTTTACGATGCGCAATTCAGTTTTTGCATAAAGCATTTCATTAATTTAATTTAAGAATTGGTGTCAAATCGGCACTATAGCACGCATGATTTCTGGTTTCAATTTTCCCGCCAGTTGTTACTAAAAATAGCTGCAGTGATGGCACGCACTTCTTCACTTATAATTGCATTATTTTAAAGCGAATAACTTCTACAGAACTCAAATTTGATCCAAAAATAATTAAGTTTTTTCCATTGGTATTTTTTAATCATTTCATATCGTTTGAAATGGTGTCACTTTAAAAATTATTTAGACCTTTATAGTCAAATATTTTAATACTTACAAATCATATTTTTAGTAGAACTTTAAATAATTCAAATCTTATATATTCCAAATTTTAAACATGAAAGTCAAAAAACAAAGTTAACATGTTTTAGAAATCCTCTAAAATTATCACATATTTCAGTTTTAGTGGCATTTTACATTTAGACATGTGTAAGTGTGGAATATTTCATTAAACAATTTCATTTTAAAGCCTAAAAAGTTTAAATAATTAAAGAAATGAAAACAAATGCATAATATTACTGAACACAAAACTGGAATGCTAATTTAATTTTCAAAAATAGACAATTCTCATTTTTTAAAATTTACACCAATTAATTTATGATCTATACTGGAATCAAGATATATTATTCAAAAAATACAGGTTGTTTCATATTTCTTCTTATAAACCATAATTTTATCTAAGTTAAACTGTAAATAAAAAAATTAATTTTATGAAGCATTTATGCTATTGTTATTGTGAAATGATTCTAAATTATGGATCTTCCAAAATAAATGTTGCCATTTTAAATTACTGTACATATTATCTGATAATTATGTATAAGAATATACTTTTCTGATTGATTTGAGCGAGAATTTCTGCAATACAGACTCAGTTTTTTTAAAAAATATATAAATTATTATAATATATATACAGTGGGTGATCGGTTAACAAACATAATCCGTTCCAAGACTTTGTTCGCTATCCAAATTGTTTGTTAACCAATTATCGATTTACCATAGGTTTTAATGGGAATTTAATTAATTCGTTCTGGAGACCCCCAAAAATAAAAAAATATATATTTTATTACTACGTTTATTTATATGTAATAATAAAAATACATACATACACAGTCTTGCATTTTTATTAGTCATACTTTTCCATTTAAAAGGGTTAAAGAATCTTTTGTAAGGGTTAAAGAATCATTTGTAAGGGTTAAAGAATCTGTCTAATGTCAATTGCTTTTCTCTCTTCTTCAGGATTTTTCGTAAGTAATTAATAGCATTGCAATTGTAGAAATCCCTAAGCCTCAACCTGGTTTGGATGCCATTCTAAGACTGTTGTCCTGACATCCTCCCAGTTCTTCAAAGAATCTTTAATTAATAACAGATATCAACATTAATCCTCTTTTTCATAATAAAACATATCTCGCCAAGTTTCTTGGTGTTATTCATTCAAGAGTTCTTGGCATTCTTCTGTCATCAGATCCATTTCAGGTTCCATTATGAACTCTTCAATGTTCTTTATTTTGCTACTCCTTTAGCTGCTTGAGTCTTCTTGATTATACAGTATTTTTCTTAAATAAGATTGAACAGCGGCCTACTGTAGACCTGTTTACGCCATACTGCCCAGCAATATTAGGCATCTTCTACCCACTCTCTACCTTTGCTATTATACTCTCACCTTTTGAGAAGAAAAACAGACACAAAACTTAACAAGTGCCTACCTGACAGTCTCGCAAATACATAAAAGAATTGTATTGTCAGAAAAATAAAAGGCTGGAATTACAAGGAAGAGTTTCAAAGTTCAAAGAAATACTATCCGATTGGTATATACCGGCTTGAGGGTCAGTGTCGACGTCTCCCGCACTCCGAAAAGTTTCGAATTGTTGCCCAAAGACAAGGGAAGACCAATCAGTTTTCATTATTTTATGTCGCTTCTCCTTGTGTTTGTTCTGTGGAGTGTTCATTATCCGATCATGTGTTCGTCATCTGAACATAAAAATCTTTCACGAAAGTGTTCGTTATCTGATCTGTTCATTATCCGATCTGTTTGTTAACCGATCACCCACTGTATGTATACAGTATATATTGAATATGAATATTATACATAAATTTTACTATGTCATTTATAGAAGTGTTACAGCACATTCAATTTTAAAACAAAAATTATAGTACATTAAGATTACATAAATATTGAAATATATCTTAAAAATTTAGATCTTACAATACAACATATACAGGGGTTGCTCTGGAAAATTTAAAAATATTACCAACCATTTGCCAGTTTTAAATGTTTTTTTCTACTTCAAATTATTTATCACCACCAGTTTTACTTAGTAATTAATGCAGGTGCTGATAGCCTTTATCAGTTTGATGTCTGAAAGCAAAAGTAATGTGTTAAGCTGTCAGTTACAAGGAGAGAACCAGATGTTCAGGTTGCCAATTTGAAAGAAACCTAGTGAGCATATAGGCCTAAACACAAACAGCTCCTTGTCCAAATAATAGGACCCACTTCTCAAGCATTTTCTAAAAATGGTCCTTTGAAAATTTAGTTTTTAGTTTATAAGTCTTTGACAGCCGATTGCATAGACAACATTTAGAGACCAACGGCAGTTTACAGATCGGGTACACTGCTGTTCAGAAAAATTTCATTGCAGAGATGGTGTTTCTCACCTGCCACAATGTAGACAGCGATTAGAAACAAGTTATTTGACCTATTTTCTAGACTCACTCGACAGCAGGTTTAGAGGGCTTTTCAATTCGAGTGGTAGTTTTGTTCGTGCAAAAGTTTAGATAAAAACAGATATCGTTCCTTTGATGAATGTTGTAAACGGTACGAATCGGCAAAATTATTCATTAATTAATTGCTTGGAGCAAAAACAACAAAATTAAATACTTTAAATTTGTTTTAAATGTTTCAAATTTCAATATTCAAATGGATGAAGACTTAAAAGTTTAATTAATTTAAATCAGATGCATTTATTTACAATTCAAGTATCGTGTCGGTTATAAAACATTAATTAATTTCGGAGTCATTGTACTATTAAACAAACGAGACAATTTTAATAATTACAGAAATCTGTTTATAGATATAAAAAAAATATAATATTAATAATAAAATATTTAAAATTATTCATTTTGATAGTTATGAAGGGCGACAGTAATAAGATGTCGAAATAATTTCTTAAAAATCTATTCGGAAGACGTATAAATTTTCTAATTATGGATTTGTTCATATTTTAAACTGTATTGGCGACGAAATTAAATATTGAAATGAAAAAGGATTGTCATTAATTGCCAAACAATGGTTTTGATGGCCTTAAGATTTTATTTCTGGAAGCTTTTGGAATATAGCTGGCGACCATTTCTGATGTCACAAACAAATAACCTGATTGGCCAACCGACTCCTAAAACAGGGGAGTAATAGCAAAGTAAGTAAGAGCCAATGTTTTGCCAAAGTTCGTTTAGAGAATGGTTAGAAATAGATGATCATCGTCTTTGAAACGCATTTTAAACCACGGTTCAACCAGCCAATGTCTATAGGCCGTTCTGCTGATAAACATCATTTAATGTAAACTCTGTCTCTGCAATCGGCTGTGAAAGTTTCATGTCTCTGAGCAACAATAGCCAAGTAAATAAGATACTAGGCACTGGAGCTAGATAATGTAGATCTGGACTGTAATTTGGAATTTTAGTTTAGCTTTGATTTTGTGTATGTATAAATTTAGACATATTTTGTGTAAATTGACTTTTCCCTGGGATGGTTGCATTCATTAGACACATTGTTGTAGTGTTGGATGCTGAATCTTACTGCAGGCTCTCTATATCTATTATGCTATGAGAATAAAAAGAATTGTGTTAACAGTTTGTTATGTACTAGATATTCTTATCCTCAACATAAATTCATTTTTGTTTGTAACCAAATAAATAAGTTTATAGATAAAATCAATGTAACTGCTTTAATTTAAAATTATAATAAATAATCATAATTCATTCTTGTCATTCATATACAGTGGAATCCAGTTTATCTGGCTCAAACAGAACCAGGCCCAATCCGAATGACCAAAAATCTGGATAATCCAGAAAATTTGTTAATGACATCAATAACAGTTTAGAAGTATTGGGTTGTTCGGAAAGTAATTTAGTTTTTTTCCGTAGAAAAAAACAATATTTTCATAATAAATAAATATTTTATTGAATTATATATCGACCATTTTGGTCAAATACCTGTTGTCATCGTTTCTGGTAGTAGCATGATTTCACATTCATAAAAGTTTTGATTGTTGCTTACAAAAAACTGATCCAAGTGATTTTTGACATTGTCATTTCAAGTAAATGTCTTACAGCTAAAAAAAATTTGTATAGACTGGAACAAGTAATAATCTGAGTGTGCTCGATCTGGCAAATATGGTTGGTGTGATAGCATCCCATCTAAGTTATAACAGTTTCTGACCAGTTACCAAACTTGTGTGAAATTTGACATTATCGTAGTAAAACACTACACCTGTTTTGTTGATCAATTCTGGCCACCTTTTCTGCTTGATGATATTACTCAATTTGTTTACTCGATGGCAGTACACTTTCGAATCAATTGTTAAATTGTCTGGCAAAAGCTCCAAAAAAAAATTTCCTTAAAATCCCACCAAAGAGACCATCTCTCTTTAAGAACACATGGAACCCATATATTGAGCTTTGAAATGAAACCAATTTGTTTCAAGTAATCATAAATGGTTTAATTTGACAAATTTAATCTCTTAGTGATTTCACGTGTTGTTATTCGGCAGTTTGCTTCAATCAGTACCTTTATTTTTTTGTTTTCAGTGGCTTCAACTGGCCATCCAGAACATGGTGTATCTTCAATATTGAAATTGCCAGAATGAAATTTTGTAAACCAGTTTTGGCACTGTCATTCTGTCAATACATCTCCATACACATCACACAATTTTTTTTCTCACTTGAACAGCATTCTTACCTTTTCAGTAATAAAAGAGCAAAATATGCTGAAAATGCTGCTTTCGATCTTCCATATTTGATGGGACACAAAAATAAACAATTGCACAAAATCAAACAAAATTTTTACAAATAAACCTTAAAATGCTAGCTGTCAAAATATATAATGATAATATGGTTTAGAATGAAAATGGTGGGAAAAATATGACTAATCCGTCTAGTGGTGAAAAAAATGAAATTATTTTCCAAACAACCCAATAAATTTTATTTTATTTACTGCACACTATATATACTTTTACAACAATAACAACAGTATAAAGCAAAAGACATATCTACATACAGTATTAGTTTGTTGTCTTCTATCAGCAGACACAACACATGTATAGTACATAAGTTTCCTGACCACTTGTGCAGGGTAGAACTTCTCTTTATGACTTTTTCAAGGTCTACCAGAAATTAGGCTTAGTGCTCCATAGAGAAACCAAAGGACAAATTTGAACCAAAGTAATTGTGATATACTGTACTGTATTTTTGTTACCAGATCCTTGTTATAAAGTCACAGGTGTTCAAGATTGGCATTGAGCCAAGAGAAAACACTATTCTACAGCTGCAACATTATCCTCAGGCAAGAATGTACTACTTACAAGCTAGTTCTTTGATTTTTTTTTGCATATATAGGTTTACTGTATGTCTATCTTTCTTATTCCAGATAAACAGGATTCCACTGTATGTTACATTAAGCAAATATAAGTTAATAAAAACAAAAACTCAACATGTCAACAGTCAATAATAGAAACAGTAGAGACAACTTTAATAATTTAGCACATTTATGTTTTAATAATAAATTTAAATATCTTTACCTTAATCTAGAATGTAAATTTTCAGATAATTCCTTTTTTGCACGTGCACAACGTCGTCTTATATCTCTTAGATTTTGATGATTAATTAATAACATTTCAAGTTGTCTTTGATGACTTATACATAAATCTGGTAAAATTGACGGATCTCCAAGTTTTCCAGCTTGATTTTGATTATTATGAAAAGCCTATAAAATAATTTTTTTGTTGTTAGTTATATAAATGATAAAAATGTTTATTAAATATTAAAAATTTACATTTATTTTACATTAATTTTTCCTAAATATTTTATTAATAAAATCATTGTCATATATTTCACCAAAAACTGATTTAAAACTAAAACTGCTAGTTTAAGTTAAGCTTATATAGTAATTAAATAGTTAAACTAAACTAAAAATTAATGTAATAATAATAATAAAATTAATATCACTGTAAAACAAATTTTTGTCAACTGAATAAAATGTCCAATGAAAGAGAGCCATGCCAATATTTCAAAAGCTGTTAAAGTAGGAGGAATGCTCATAAAACAATTCCACTTCAAAACTTTTAACAGGGTGTCCAACAATTTCCAATTTCCCTGAGATTCCCAGTTTTTACAGGATGAAAACCTGCATTTTTCCCTGACTGATTAAAACAACTTAATGTAGATATTAAAAACAGTTCAGTTTATTTGATGTTACCAAATGAAATCCACAGTTGTAAGGCTGTTGAATTCCCTTTATTATAAAGTATGACTAATTTTTTTCGTTTTGATTAATCAATTTATATACTGTTTCTTCAAAATGTGCAGATTGCATATCACATACAGGTTTAACATGACAATTTTATTAAAATATGGAAATTCAAATTGACACTGTCAACCTTATAATGTAAACCCAATACATTTCCCAAATTATGCAATTTACATTAAGTAAATATCACAAAATAAACAAAATAATCATACTAAATTAATTATAGAATAAAGTAACACCTTTTTTTGCAGTTCTTGCAATTGTTCATTAATTAATTACCCCTTAAGCCCATATCCTGAGATATCTCGGGCATGGACTTTAAGGGGCCATTAAAAAAAGCCTTGACTTATAACTTTTCCGGAAATGTATGGATCAGCATATATACATCGCTATCTATGATCTGTGCAAATTTCATGAGTTACTTTTGCCACAAAAATATTTTATGACAATTTATTAATTAGGTAATTAATTGCGCTATTGTTTTTTTATGGGAGTTTTTTAATCAAATTAATCATTCTAAACTTCTATTTCACAGGTTTGACTTTGGTAAATTTTTTAAAATGCTATTGGATGTATTTTATGACATCAGCAGGTTTTTTTGTTTTTTGTTCAGTAGAATTTTTTCCCCATACCTTTTTTTCGGTTCCCTCGTAATTTAATAGCATTAAAATTGACAATATTGTGTTATATTTGAACAGATGCAGTAAGTTAGCTCCCCTCCTGCTTCGTGATATCTTTTTGTATTTGACCAAACAAGTGGTTTGGTCCTCACCGGTTGAGTGCATCTACATATTTATTGTAAATACGTTATAATGTTCTCTATTTATATTTGTTCAAACTGTATTAGTCATTGTTTGTTGTCACCTGTGTTATGTGCATCTTGTATATAATTTGTACATATGTTTTCTGTTTTGTATTTAATAAACTACCGATGAGCGCCCTATGATCCTATCATCACCCTGCCCTCCTTTTCATCACTTGCTTTCTTCTCTCTTCTCTTCTTTCACCATCTTTTCAATCTCCTGGTCGTACCTTTGAGTGGAACCAGGAGGCAGCCCCTTCTTTCAACTAGTAGTAATTGCAGTGTCCCCTCCTGCTTTAGACCAATATTCCCCTGAAGCGTACATGAGAACTACCCGGGAAAGCAGACTCCAGCTGTTCTCAAGGTCAACCAGTTTGTAAACTATTTGTAAAAACACTTTTTGGAGGGGTTTTTATTTCACGGGAATTATTTCCCGGAAATTCTTTCGGATGTCAGATTCGCGTTTAAGCAGAAATATTTGTAAAAACACTTTTTGGAGGAGTTTTTATTTCGCGGGAATTATTTCCCGGAAATTCTTTCGGATGTCAGATTCACGTTTAAGCAGAAATAATTATTTCATACAAAAAATTTATTTTTTGTGGATTTCTTAGTTGCATTTGAATCGGAACATGGGTAGCAAAAGAGTTAATGTCCCCAATCTCCTTATTAACTTCTGTACAAATTATCTTTTTCTTAGCTCTTTTGCCATTTTTGCAACCAGAAACTTCTCACTCCTTTCTTTTTCTTACCTTATTTCTTCCAGTTTAAAAGCTACAATAGCTTACTTGTATCTCTGGGCTGCATTTCAAGTTGCATGGATCAACTGTTTTGATATATCCAATTTCCCAATCCACCAGCTGACATGAACTACATTATGTACTTTCCTGTAAACTACAAATGGTTCTTCTTTTTGGTTTGCCATTAATCATTCTTTGTTGATGGAAAATCCACATTCCATATCAGCATTATCATGGAACACTATTAAAATCATCTTCACAAATGTTTCAAATTCTTTTATTTCATCAAATTGATGTGGCAGATTAAGCCAGAAAGAATCAAACCTGTTATGCTGTCTGGAGTAATGTTTAATTCCTAGGGACGACAAAATGTCTTTGTATTGCTTAGCAGTTTTATCAGCTGTAGAAACATTTATCCAGTTCTTAGCCACAAGTTTCTAACATAATATGTAGCAGTTTTGTGCTTCCATACATAAGCTGAATTTAGGCACAACAGTCCCTTCAGAACAGCGCAGTCATTTCAAAATTCTAATATCTCTGTCAGTTACACCCTTCTTTCTAACTTTTCTAATTGCATCTTTTGTGGCATACCCAAGGTTTACTGTATGTACTGTGTAGAGATACTCTGTAACCATCAGTAATTAAACTCACAGAATGTTTTAATTTACTACCTGCAATTTACAATCACAGGATTGGAACAGACTTATATTAAAGAAAAAAGTGACAAGAGTAAAGAAATTAGTAAGCAGGAAACGAATTTTTTTAAAATTCTTAAAAGTAAAAAAATAATATGAAATGTTTTAAAATTGGTTTTATTTAATCATATTTTTTTGTTTTAAATATCTATTAAGAAAAAAATCAATAAATTTACTAATATGTAAAAGATGCTCAAATATCTATTTACACATTTTTAAATGTATTCTCTTCTTAATATATGTATTATTCTCATCTTTTATTGATATGAGGCAGTTTTTATTTGCCTAATGAATGTTCATTGAGCAAAAAAAAAATGTTTGTATGAATTAGATATTTATATAGTTATATATTTAATAGTTCATAACAGTGCTTTGATATTTAAGCATTTTCCATTTATTTAGTTGAGTTATCTTAAAAATCAGTTTGTTTTGAAATTATCTTTACAGTAAACAAAATAACAATAAGAAAAATTATTTCAGATATTCAGTTTATCTTACAAACTATGTAAAAAATTACCTGAGCTAAATCTCCTTGTTCAGTTTCATGACGTTTTGCTGAACACATTAATGTTTCCAAACCCATGAGACGTTCTCCTAAACCTTTAACTTCTTTCATTTGAGAGTTATCTACTGCCTCAAGAGCTTTCTGTATCTCCACATGCAAGTTGTCAAATGTATTCTTATCAATCTAAATTTAAAAATTTTACAGTAAATTTCTAAAAATCATAAAATTCCAAACCTTTACATGTGTATTTCATCATATATTTTAATACATTAGATCTATTATTCTAATTCTAATGAAAAATAATACTATTTTTGATTAACTCTTTAGAGTTAATCAAAATAGAATACGGATAAGCTGAAAAGCTACAATATTTATATTAAGCTTTGTAATCAAAAGATTGATATACAGTGGATGATCGGTTAACGAACATAATTCGTTCCAAGACTTTGTTTGCTATCCAAATTGTTTGTTAACTGATTATTGATTTACCATAGGTTTTTATGGGAATTTGATTAATTCATTCTGGAGACCCCAAAAAATAAAAATATATATACTTCCCTACTATATTTATTTATTTATATGTAATTATCAAAATACATATATACACAGTCTTACATTTTTATTAGTCATGTTTTTCCGTTTGTGTTTGTTAAGGAATCTGCCTAATGTTGATTGCTTTTCTCTCTTCTTCAGAATTTTTCAGAAGTAATTAATAGCATTGTAATTGTTGAGATCCGTAAGCCTATTAACCTCAACCTGGTTTAGATACCATTCTAAGACCATTGTTCTGACATCCTCCCACTTCTTCAAAAGATGTTTAATATCAGATATCGCCATTAATTCTCTTTTTCAGAAGAAAACATATCTCGCTGAGTTTCTTGGTGTTATTCATTCAAGAGTTTTTGTCGTTTTTCTGTTGTCAGATCAGTTTCAGGTTCCATTATGAGCTCTTCAATGTTCTTTATTTCTCAGATGTAATTTTTGTTACTCCTTAAGCTATTTGAGTCTTCTTGATTATACAGTATTTTTCTTCGATAAGATTGAACTGTGGCCTACTGTAGACCTGTTCAAGCCATACTGCCCAGCAACATCAGACATCTGCCCACTCTCTACCTTTGTTATTATAATCTCACTTCTCAAAAATAAAAACCCATTTTCGCACAAATACTATAAAATAATTGTTTCTGTCAGAAAAATAAAAGGCTGGAATTACAAGGGAGAGTTTCAAAGTTCCTAGGAATACTATGATCAGTATACACCGAGTTGAATGTCAATGTCGACGTCTCCTGCGCTCCAAAAAGTTTCAAATTGTTGTCTGACGACAAGGGAAGACCAATTGGTATTAATTATTTTATGTTGCTTCTTGTGTTTGTTCTGTGAGGTGTTCATTATCCGAACTTGTGTTCATTGTCTGAACATATAAATCTTTCGTGAAAGTGTTCGTTATCAGATCACCCACTGTATTTATTAACAACAATTTGAATTTAAGACAGTTATAAGAAATATTTTTTCCATCAAAAGATTCATAAAAACATTTCTTGTTTATACTATTTAATATAAAATATTTTCCTACCTAAGTATTACTCATTATTACTTTTATTCATGATAAAGTATAATGTTTCTAAACAATATTATATAAATACTGAGATTGCTCTTGGCTACAAAATCAGAGTCAAATTGACTTGCTTAGTCCAAAAAGTCAACTCTTAAAAGTTTTGAGTCACAGTAATTTTTTATAATGTTAAAAACAATGTTTAAAAAAGAAAACACCTATTTTACTCATCATCTTCAGACTCTTGCTTTGTTGATGCATATTCTGCAAATTAAAAATTATTTTTCTTACCATGGCAAATGATTTTTGGAAAATAAAGTATAAAGAAATATCAAATTCGTAAAAAATCAAAAAGATATATTATAAAATTGACTTTTATTTTTCAATTTATACAACCTTTTTCATATTTTCAAATAGTTTTGTTGCTTTTTTCATATGAAAAAAGCAAAAGAATTAGAACCATCCAATAATTACATGTACAATTTTTCAGCTACTTTGTATCCCTTTCCTCCCTCTTTCACTGTCATGTACAATGATGTTAAAAAAAAAGGTAGAATTTATTCTTTCATTTATTCTAGAAATAATTATGAGAGTTTTTCTCGTTTACTTACAATAAAAATAAAACAAAAAACTGTTTATATATTAAAAATAAGTTGCATCATATATTTTTGTGTTTCAAACTTACTTTTCTTAGTTGAGAAATATCATCTCAATTTATTTCTGCTTCATAAAAATGCAAGTGTGTGCTACTAAACTATTTGAAAATCTGCACTTTTTCAAAACAGATTTTTAGACATTTCTTTAAGTAAGGTTGAATATAAATGTCTTTAAAACGCTTTAGGCCAGGGCTTTTTAAACTATGGATCACAACCCTATTTGGGGTCACTTAGGGAAATCTTGGGGTCATGAGATTTTAATGCAAAATATTGAAAATAATTTGTGAGAGTTTGAAAATGGCATGCTTTGTGTCATAGGTTTCGTGAGTTGCACTTTGTGTCACTTCTGGTGCAGCAAGACAATGATTCAGCAACACTGTAGTGTAAACTAGTGTAGTACTGTCACTTTTCAGTGTATTCAGTTGTCTCTGTTCCATTATAACACAAGAGTGAACTGTGGTAGTACACCATTATTGTTTTTGCAAATTTGTATATATCTTTATTTTATATTTTTTGAGTCGCGAAAAAAAAATCACAATTATAAGTGGGGTCGTGAATAAGTGGGGTTAAGAAGCACTGCTTTAGGCTAAAAATAAAAATTAACATTATGTTTAAGCAGTTTAATGTTAAATAAACCTGAATATTGAATTATAAACTTCACTGATAGCTGTCTGATTTAAGTTTCAATTATAAAATCTTCAAAACAAAGATTATGTAAATTATATTATAATCATCTGTTTTTATAAACCATTTTACACAATACTTTTAGAAAATCTAATTGACAATCAGAAAACTGAGATGTTAAAACACAAGGATGACTGTGTTTAAGGCAAAATAAGGTACTCATAAATTTTCATGAGTGGATAGATCTGGTCTCATTGACTTCACCAGCTAGTTGGTCTAATAAATGCTTGGCTGAATCCATAATGAAAATATTAGGCGCAATCTTTCAAGAGTAAATTGCCTCCTGGGGAGATTTTAATGTGAAACTGGTCTCTATTTACGTGGTGTGTTCAAAAAGTATCAGACCTTTTTTTTTCCCGCGTAAACCAATGATGCGTGAGAGGCCTCCTTTGATGGAGTTGTGGAGGGGACAGTCATGCACAGCCCTGAATTTTTTCCCGCCTGCAGGAAGCATCAGTCGTTGGCAATCGGCCTATGAGTGACTCCTTTAGTGGAGTTGTGGAGGGGACAGTCATGCACAGCCCTGAATTTTTTCCCGCCTGCAGGAAGCATCAGTCGTTGGCAATCGGCCTATGAGTGAGGTCAAGTAGTGCGCTCTCATCGGATTCCACTAAGCTGGAAAATGACTGAACAACGCGAGCAGCGATATTACATCAAATTTTGCCAAAAACCTTGGCGATACCCAAGCGTAAACCATTCGCAAGATTCAGCAGGCTTTCGGGGACGATCCTCGAGGCCAAAAAAAG